AAATGGGAACAATATGAACGACTGCTAAAGGCTATTAGGATAGGTCTTCCGTGTGCTTGTTTATGTCCTCTCCGCAAGTTTGGGACTGACAGCGCTACCAGACATTGTGCTGTACCCAGCCCTGGAGCCTGCTGCTCTGAGAGAATCTGATCAGAGTGATGCTGACTCGGCCTGTGACAAAACTGGGTCAATGTTAGCTTCTCACAGGCCATAAAGTTGTGGAGGAAGAAAGGGAAAGACGGCTGTCACCAAGCTTTGGCTGTGGAGAAAGAGTGCATAGCTTGAATGTTTCGCCTGTTGGCAAGTGTTTTAGGGGAGTGTTGTGGTACATTTAGTTGTACTGAACTTCTCTCGTGCTCTTTTTATGCCAGTCACAATGATGTTCTTTTGTTTTCCCTGCCTTGTGATTATTCAGATGCCCCCACTCCCCCTTGACGAACGCATAGTGGTCATCCAGCGCCCCAAGACTTTGCCCCTCTCCTTGGGCTCTCTGCAGTCTACTCCTCAGCACTCCATCCGGAACAATCCGACAGCACCTCCCTCACAACCCCACCCCCTTCCGTCCCATTCCCGCTCCCGTCCCTCCGTCTACCCGAATGCGGAAGGAAAGTCCAGCCCCTCCAGCAATCAATGGCGAGCCAGGGAGGAGAGAGCGGTCGATGCAGAGTCCGGCTATAGCGCTTGCGGTCACAGCCATGGCGATGAAACGCTGACGTTTGGGTCAGGCCGGAATAAGCAGCGGCATACTTTGGATATTAAACTCTCTCTGGGCAGCAGAGGAGAAGGCAGCTTGGAGAGAGGGCCGTGGAGCAGCGAGTCCCACGGAGGGAGCTTGAAAGGCCGGAGAGAGAAGAAGCTATCCCTGCACCTGGATCTCAGACAGGAGGACTGGAAATTGGGTGGAACCTCAGGAAGACCCGGCGAGGTGGTAGTGCAGCAAGTCCAGAACCCATTCCGCGTCAGAGACCTCTATCCCAAGCCATCCTCAGCAGCTGTTCCCGGCATTGTACTTGCAGAAGGACGGCATCCAGAGCTCAGGAAAGAGACAGACCTATCACACAACCTCAGGGAGGTATCTTCTGTAGGTGACAAGGCCAGCTCCAAATTGGGAACCCTCCTCCAGGCTCCCTACCTCCACCATAGCCTTCCTCGGCACTACGGTTCCACCCCAACAGCCCACCATACTTCCACCTTGCGCAACCCATACCCTCCCGTTATCACCTCTGTTCCTTCCCATGCCCTGCCCCACTTCCTCCCTCTTAGTGGGCAGTCCCGCTTGTCTCGAGGCAGGGAGCGCCACCTGCAGCACCTCCACAGTTTGCCACTATCCCCCAGTTCTTCTCGAGGCTTCCCCAGCCCGGACCATTCTTGCACCATCAATTTACAGCAACCCTTCAACTGCGGCTGCTGGAGGCTGGTGTGCCGCGGCAGAGGAGGCGGTCACTCTCGAGGGTGTCAGGGGTGTGGCGCAAGCCCCTCGTCCACCCTTTCCCATTCTCAGGGAGCGGGAGGAGCTGGGAGTAGTGGTGGTATCTTTACATCTGGAGTCATGGGATTGAAGACGCTTGGCGGGTGCCTGTCCACTGCATCCACCACAAACACCTCCTCATCTGGCAGCACCATGTCTGACTGTCGAGTTGGGCTTCTGGGGCCCCTACGCTGCAAATCCTGCTCTGGCAATGGCTTTGGGAGCCCCACCTCCTTACACAAGAAGCTTATTGGGGGCTGTCTACCATGTTCACCACTCTCAACCTCCAGCCCCCTTCGAGCCCTCCATAACTGTGTCACTGGCTGCGACCCGAAAGCCAGCCAGGCTGGCAGCTCTTCCTGCAGCTACTGCAGCAGTGACCCCATCGTAGTGACCTATAACCCCCGTCGACTAAAGCCCCCAGAGGTCACCAGTGGCAGTGGGCCACTGATGTCTGGGAGATTCCCGCCCGATGATGATGATGATGATGACTACAGTGTGCGCACTATCTGGCCTGAGGAGCTTTCCCAGAAGATGACAAAGTCAAAGGTCCACCATGACCAGAAAGGTCTGGGAATGGCCTCAGGACCCAGAAATCAGTACCAGAGCAGCAGTAATGGGACCAGCCCCATGATTCTGGACTGTCGCAATCTGCTCGAGTTCACCCGGTCCCACCTCGCAGACCACGCTGGACGCCGACGGCTCCAGCAGGGCAAAGCAGCTGTCCTGGACTTCATTGGATCTGGCTCCAGTCAAAACACCAGCCGGGACTCACTGAAGAGACTCTGGACCAAAAGTGAAGACAGGGGGATGATGGATGGCAGTGGGCAAGATGAGGAACCAGGCTTGATGCGTTCATTTTCTTCAAGATCCGCTTCACCCACGTCGCCTTTCTCCTTTTCTCCTCCACCCTCAAGCCACTCCACCCTCAACAAGCCCAAACCTTGGGAGAGGGGGTCCCTCCCTTCTGCACGGTCACTCCACCTGGTCCTGAACTCGCTCAATGCCGATCAAGATGAGGAGAACATGAGAGGTAAGGATGGGCAAGCCAACTGTAACAGGAATACTAAATGGTGTGCCCACAGTCCAGTACTGTTTACGGATTTATAAATAGAGCAGACAATGGTTTACTCCCAGTGGATCTTCATCTGAAGAAGCTTAGTCCTTTCTAGTGGGATCAAAATGTTCTCTGTTCTATAACTATGTTTAGAAGAGCCATTTAATATACTGGCTGCTTCTAGTTACTTTTCACTACAAAATTGACATGCATATCCTGGACATGTAAATTATATTACAAGCAAAATAATATTTCTCTGCTTCCTAAAAACCAGGAATTGCTCACTATGGACTTTGAGAATGACATGTTGGGTTTCATTTCACCTAAGGTCTTTATTTTGTTTAAGAAATGATTTGAACTGTCAGCCACTTTACCTGGTATATATATATATATATATATAAGATCAGTCAGATGTTAATGAAATTGAAAAGCTCTTAAGCCAAGTCTCCCAATGCCTCCTAAAGGGGATTTTTTATGTAATTTCCTCTGCAAAGAGAGCTAGTGACAACAAAAATGTTTTCATGAATTAGAGCCATGTCTAAGATAAAATTAGAATAATTTATGCCCTTAAGTCGTATATGATTAAATTTTGGTAGCATGCCAAAGAGCCCCCTTTGAAATGCTTTTATCTGATTACAGCTTTCTCTATCCTATTCTCCTTCTACTCCTTCCTGGAAAGGTTTCTGGATTCAGTCTGCACTGCAGTGGTCTGCATGATGGTGTTTTGGTGTCTGATTCTAGTAATCTTCCCTTCAGCATTTTGTGGACCAAATATTCTTCCCGTAATACAAGTGAAACGCTCAGTGTATTTTATTTTAATCTGCCTTTTCTAACGTTCCTCATATCTCCATTCCTCCCTACAGTCCATCTGTCGCTTCCACTGTCTTCTTCACTCCCCACCTCTCTGTCGGATGAGGGGTTGATGACTCCAGACGTGGAAAATGCTGCTATCAGCTCCATCTTGCCCTTCCTGTTCCTCGGCAACGAGAGGGACGCCCAGGACCTAGATCTGCTGCTGAGGCTCAACATTGGCTTCGTTGTCAATGTGACCACCCACCTGCCCCTCTACCACCTGAACACTGGACTGATCCACTACAAGCGGCTGCCCGCCACAGACAACAGCAAGCAGAACCTCAGGCAGTACTTCGAGGAGGTGTTCGAGTTCATCGGTGAGTTTGGTCAGGAGGGGAGGAAGACCTTGTGTGGAGTGCGTCCTGGTTTAGAAGCTGGTGGTTTCGTTCAGATCAAACTCAGTTAGCTTGACCAGCCTTTTCTCCTGAAATATACACAGGTGGTTCCCGGGTTAAGAACGCCCGACTTACAGAAGACTTTAACTTATGAACGGATTGCCATAAAGTCTATTATATTCAAATTCAGGTTAAATACAAAGGTTCGTAATAATAAATGCAAACACTATGTGCAAGCATTGTGCAGCTTCAGCAGTTTGTCGACTGAAGGTACAGTACAGTACCATATGTAGTCACTTTTATTATTACTTTATTATTATTATTGTTATTATTTACTGTGTTATTATTGTTCCGATTTACCTACAGACTTGGGGAATGGATCTCGTTTGTAACCTGTAGACTCCCTGTATTGTATTTTAAATTATGACATATTCATGCCTGTTTTGGTCATTCTCATGAATCATCTTGCTGGCTTCTTTTTTCGTTAGTGCTAAATTTAGTTTTTTTTTTTAGTTTTGCAAGCATGTGTTAAAAGGCCTTGATTTGAGGAGATCCTTCTTTTCAAGTTCTCCTCTTGCAGGATGCATTGATAAGGAGAGAGAGGGAGATTGGTAACCCTGAAGTGAAGGTCGAGAATTAAATTACCGCAATAAATTAAAATTAAATGAAGTTCTC